GGACAATGCCTGCCCGGACACGCCGGCTGGCGGGCAGGACCTGTTCGGTTGGCTCCGCCCGCAGGCGCCTCCGGCCCAGGCTTTCTGCCTACCCAGCAACTTCTAATTTGGGTTGGGAGCAGCTTAGCTGTCACCCTGCCTCGGGGCGGCTCAGCTTCGTCACAGGCCATGAGGTGCAGCAGGGTGTGGCGGGGTCCTCCGCCCCCTGGAGGTGCCACAGGTGCCGCCAACCTGGCAGGGTCGTCCAGCCACCCCACGGGGTGGCGCCTTGCTGAGCTGGTCCTCCTCGCAGGTGGGGCAGGAGCCCCCCAGTGCCCTGAGCCCCGGCCCCTGGAGGAGCCATGACCGAGTACAAGCTTGTAGTGGTGGGCGCAGGAGGTGTGGGGAAGAGCGCCCTGACCATCCAGCTGATCCAGAACCACTTTGTGGACGAGTATGATCCCACCATAGAGGTGAGCCCTGAGTGTCCCCAGCCCTGCAGGTGGCAAAAGCCTGCCTCCCCCATCCACTGCAGAGGCAAGGGAAGTGCACAGAGGGGCTTTCCCTGCAAATTCACAATTGAGGAGTTGCTGAGCCGAGTTCTCCTGTAGGACTCATACCGGAAGCAGGTGGTCATCGATGGGGAGACGTGCCTGCTGGACATCTTGGACACAGCGGGCCAGGAGGAGTATAGTGCCATGCGGGACCAGTACATGCGCACTGGGGAGGGCTTCCTCTGTGTATTCGCCATCAATAACACCAAGTCTTTTGAGGACATTCATCAATACAGGTGAGCCACCTTTGTGGCTGGCCCCAGAGCCCACTGGGGCAGAGGACCTCCCTGTGCATGTCCTGGATGCCACCACATCTGCCACCGTCTGTCCATCATGGCTCACATCCTTCCCTCTTGCAGGGAGCAGATCAAGCGGGTAAAGGACTCAGATGATGTGCCCATGGTGCTGGTGGGGAATAAGTGTGACCTGGCTGCACGCACTGTGGAATCTCGACAGGCCCAAGACCTTGCCCGCAGTTATGGCATTCCCTACATTGAGACATCAGCCAAGACCCGGCAGGTGAGCCCCCTCCCCTCCTTACAGCTGGCCAGGGACTTCCCCACCCCACCCCAGCCAGGGAGTAGCACTCATGCCCCTCTCCCTCAAAACAGGGCAGCCGCTCTGGCTCTGGCTCCAGCTCCGGCACCCTCTGGGACCCCCTGGGACCCCCTGGGACCCATGTGACCCATTGGCCCCCACGCTGTAAGTCTCCCCAGATGGCAGGGCAGTGAGGGAGGCGAGGTCCGGGGTCTGGGCTCACGCCCTGCAGTCCTGGGCTGACACAGCTGCAGGGGATATGGGGGTCCAACAAAAGAGCTGCCCTGAGCCAGGCCGGAGCGGTGACCCAGGGTCCAGCCCGTTCTGTCCCGAAAGTCCCATGGGTACCTGTTAGTCCTGAGCCCTTAGTGGCACTGCTAGGGACTCTGGCCATAACTAAATCAGTGCTGGGTTAGGGTGTTTAGGCCCTGAGCCAGGAGGGTCTTGGTCCATTCTGACCTTTGGGGTATCTCTACCCAGGTAGGGTTTCCCCAATGTCCTTCCCTACCAGTCCCCCGGGGGAGTTCTCCTAATGCAGGCTCTCTGTTCCCAGGGTGTAGAAGATGCCTTCTATACGCTGGTGCGTGAGATTCGGCAGCACAAACTGCGGAAGCTGAACCCACCAGATGAGAGTGGGCCCGGCTGTATGAGCTGCAAGTGTGTGCTGTCCTGATCCAGGTGAGCGGGGCCTGACTGCCTCCCTGAGCCACAACTCTGGCCAGCCAGCGAGCCGCACATTCACACTGATGCTCCCGGGCTCCCTGAACCTGCTGGTCCCCCTGCCTACGGTCAGTGGCGTCCTTTGTGCTCCGCCCCGGCCCAGGCTAAGGACACAGAGGTGCCGGATGCAGGGAGGAGGTGCAGACGGAAGGAAGGAAGGAGGGAAGGAAGGAAGTGCCGCCGGAGCCCAGCCAGCCCAGGGATGGTGGACAGAGGTGACTGCAGACCCTCCCATGGATGCTTTGCGGACTGTCATGAACTGTCCCAAACACCACTGGCACCCCAGCCCTGACTCTCCCCCCAGCTCCTCCAGCCTCTGACAGGTGCAGGTTGATTCACAGTAAATTATTTGATGGTCTCGACTCTAGTGTTGGCTGAGCTAAGAGGCCATGCTGCCTGTGGCCTCGCTTGAGGTACAAGGAACCACGGCTCTAGGGCATCAGTCTCACTGTGGCCTCTGGTCAGGAGGCTGATTGGACACCCTGGACTGTGTCGAGCTTTCCTCCCTGTCCACAGTATCTGCACTTCCTGCAGAGATTCTGGGGCACTGCAAGAGCAGGCAGGTGATAATAGGAATTTATGGTCCCTTAACAAGGGGAGGCCTCAAGGCCCCAAGAGAAAGCCTTGGGAAACACTGAGTCCCCACATGGTGGTTATGGCCCCCTACTTGGAGCCTCTTTGCTCAAGCGGGGATCCATTTCCTGTGTGTTTGGGCCCTTGAAACACCATGAGGACAGCAGATTGAAGGACTGGGCTATTTATTGTCCCTGGTCTCGGAGCAGCACCCTGGCTGCGCCTGGCCTAAGGCCTCTGTCCCCTTAGCCCTGGAGCCCAGTCTTCCTCCTGTGTCCAAGAGGGTGGTGGTAGTGGTCTTGCCTTCTCTGGGGTGGGCAGTTGTTCCAGAGCCATTGAAGGTCACTGGGTAGCCCACACTGCTCTGAGAGGGCAAGGGCCACCTCCAGGATAGGCCATGGCAAGAGGGCTCTGTGTTCCGGGTCCTCGCTCTAACCCCTGTGTCCTTCCTCTTCAGGGCTTGGATTGAGGCCAGACTGGCCTGGATTTGGGACTCATGCAGTGTGGGTATCTCTGACCCATAAGCATGAGGATGCTGCTGGGTGCCTAGGGCAGTGGGGTACCACAGTCACCCTTCATCCAGTAGGAAGTGTCCAGCTTTCCTAACCTGGATGCAGGGCTCCTAAGATGACTTCTGGGCCTGAGGAGCAGCTGGCAAGGGGCCACCTTGCTGGGGCTATCTTTGGTCCCACCCTGGGTCTTGAGTGGGCTGGGAGGGGCCTGGTGACAGGGCATGGGATGTAAAGCCTGGGGTTGACAGGGCAAATGTTGGACTGTGGGATTTGGAGCGAATTCCATTGAAGTAGCCAGATGCCCTGTGGCCTGGCCTGATTGGGGACACCAGAGAACAGGCCCTGTGGCGGTTCCTCTTGCCACTGGCCTTAGTCTCAGGGAAGACTGTTGGCTGGGGGATTGGGGAGGACTGTGCTCCCAACTTAGGAGGCGCTGGCACTGGGTCAGTGGCCAGTGAGGGCCAGGCCAGTCTCAGGAATAGTCTCCACACTGGGGGTGCTGGCAGGGGTCTGGGTGGGAGGGACACTGGCTTAGTCAGTGTCAGCTTCTCCACAGAGCCCATCCAGGGCCTGGAGTCCTTGCTGTCCCCGGGCAGTCACACTGGGCTGATGCCAAGGATGCCCCTGGCAGAGTGTGTGTGGCTTGGTCCTGGGGCTGTCAGGCACCTCAGGCTGCTTCTGAATGGCCCTTGAGTTCTGCTGGCTTGGGGCTTCCTGCTTCGGCCTTGCCATGGATGGTAGGCCTGAGCCTCTGTCCTGCTCGAGGGCTCAGGTGAGACAATCCTGAAGTCATCCCTGCCACCTGTCATGGGGCCTCAATGCCCAGAGATGAGATGTCCAGGCCCTCGACCTCACTGCCCAGTCATCTGTCCCCTTCTTGGCTCCTGGCCTGCTGTCGTGGCCTGGGGAGATAGTCTCTGGGTCTTGGCTGTGGGAGTTGGAGGTGGCTCTTGACTTGAGGCCTGGCCAGCCTGGCTTCCAAAAATGTCTTAGAGCTGAGGATGGAAGGCCCAGGGAGATCTGGGTGTCCGGGGCCAACCCACTCAGGACAGGACCTCATGCTGGAGCCCCCCACCAGATAGGTCACGCTGTCTTTCAAAGCTTTGCCACAAAGGCCCAAGGATGCCTCAGAAGTGCGTCCTCCTCTGGGGTCCAGTTTGGGATGTGTGACCTGTGGAGACTCATGCGGAGTATGCTGGGCAGGCATCAGGTGGGGCCCTGGGAAGGATCAGTTGCCTTCACTGGGCTTTCACCTGAAACCTCCCACAGGGTGTGCACCCTGGGGTCTAGATGTATGCAGGAAATGTGGCACCCTTACTTCTGCCTGTCTGTGGTGTAAACTCTGTCCAGAATGACCCCTAGCAACTTGCCTGGCCCATGCCTGGCCTTGGCCTCCCTCTATAACAGCTCTGTTGGGCTGAGCAGAGGCTATACAGAAGGTAGGACTGCTATCCTTGGCTGGCCAGAGCCTTGGGGTGACCTGCGGGGACAGCAGGCATGGGAGGACCCTTGTGTCTGGGCTGGCTCAATCTGCAGGGAGGAGACCCCAAGAAGGCACATCCAATGGGCCTGCAGCTGCTCATAGGGTGACACAGAGGAGTGGGGACACAGCTTGCAGGAAAAGACTCCCAGGGCCTGGACTTCCTGGATGGTGGAGGTCCCCTTGATGGAGAGCACAGTGCCCAGGGCCTGACTAGCCTGGAAACCTTATTCCAGCCTCTGCACACCCTGCCTTCCCCCCTGCCCATAGCCAGGCCCCAGGAGTATGCCAGGATCCCCCACATCCCTGGCTGCTGTTGCTCCCAGGGAGGTGGAGCTGCAGGGCTGGACCTGGAGGTACCCGGGTCCTAAGGAGACCTCTCCAGGTGCTTGGGTGAGGCAGGAGGGGACATCACACCTGAGCCTGCCTGGACTCGCTCTGCTGCGATGTCTTATGGCGGTTCCAGGCCACCTTGGACGCAGTGAGGAAGCACCATGTGGGCAGGAAGGCTGCATGGAGCCAGGGCCAGGCTTGTGTAGCAGGGGTGGGACAGGGATGGGGCTGGAGGTGTACACTGTCTTGGGCTCCATCAGGTGAGGGGAGACAGAGATACTGTCACCTGGTGGGCACCAGGCGAGTCAGAAGGCACAGCAGGGAGGTGAGTGTCACCTGGACAGAGGTGTCCACTGAGAGCCCATGCTGGTGGGGACAGGAGGTATCCTCAGATTGTCTCCCAGGACCTCAGGGAGCCCCTGTGGGGCTCAAGACAAAGTAGGAGGGAAGGAAAGTGGGGTGGCTTAAGTTGCTCCCACTGGCCAGTGTGGCCATCACCAGGGTGTTAGTCACCCTGGGTAGCTGTCCACTTACCTGCAGCCAGTGCTGCTGTTACTCAGCAGTTGGTTGGGGACCATCAGCAGGACAGTGGCTATTCAGCTCACACCAGGTAGTGAGGACCAAAGTCACCCAGGCATATGGCACAGTTCTGTACTAGTACTCAGGCTGAGGCGGTAGAATTTTAAATTGCAGTCTTCTTTGAGCAACTTAGCCTCTGTCTCAAGATAAACACAAAACAGGCTGGCAACATAGCTGGGTGGTGGAGGGTCACTGGGTTCAACCCCGTCTGGAAAAACAGTAACAAAAAACAAAAAAACCCAAGGTCACCTAGGGGGCTGAGGTCCTCCTGCAGCAGCCCCGGGGTTTGGACATGTGGCTTCTGTGCCCCTCCTCACATTGAGCACCGGGATTGCTGTCTGTCAGAGGGTCCAGGCTGAAAGAGCTCCTGGAGACCCACTGGGTCCATGCACGGGGTGCAGAAAGGACCAGATGCAGGTGTTGTGGGGCCTTGGCTGACTGCCACTCAGGGAGGTGGGGTGCCAGGCTCAGAGCAAGTCCAGGTCTGGAACCCTCAAAGATGGCCAGGGCTCCCAGCTGCTGCCTGTGTGGGAGCCCTGGAAGGAGTGGTCTGACAGTGGGAAGGGTGGGGCAGCGTCCTCCAGAGCTTCTTCCCTGGGTTCAGTTTGGGTCCGAACTTGGGCCCCTGTTAAACTTCTGAGGACCAGCACACCTTAACTTGCTTTCCCACTGGCCTGGCTCTCAGGGGCCACACTGACCTGCATATCGTGCTGAGATGAGCACCTGGCTGTGCTGCCCCCTTGCAGAGTGTGGGCCACCCCAAAGAAAGACGTCAAATGCAGGGGGAACCAGGAGCCAGGACCCCTACCCTCTTGCACTCTGCTCTGATGAGAGAGCCTGGCTTCTGCTGAGCTGGAGTCCTTGTGTACTGAGTTCAAGGCCAGACTAGCTAGGCAGTCCCCCCAACCCCCATCTCAGAAAAATAAAAGCAGGCTATCTGCTGTGCAGGCCAGGGTTTGGCCAACCTCCGGACCCCGAACTCTTCTCGCTCCCTCCAGGCTCTCTTAAAGGCACAGGCACACCATCCTCCACTCCCAGAGTCAGGAGAATTCTCGGTTCAGCCCTTGGCCCTGCCACGCCCAGGCCAGCTCTGGGTCACCCCATGGATCACTACAGGTCTCTTTTAGCGTGCAGAGGCCCAGAAGTCTCTCTTCTCGCTGCACTCTCCGCAGGCCCTGCCAGGGCCAGCCCTATTGCTGGGAGCACATGTCACCAGACAGCACTGCTTGGGGCAGCCATTCTTGGGAGCCTCTGTCCTGGGCCTGAGAGAGTCTCCTGCCCAGGCTTGAGGCTTCCCAGCGCTCAGATCCCCAGCTACCCTGAGACACTTGCATACCCCTCCTTTTCCTCTTCTCTTATCAGGCCCCCCAGCCCCCAAGGTTCCAAAGGTGATTCAAGGGGTCCAGGTCCCTGCCTTGTTTCAGTCACTGCTCCTGTTCTGCTGGGACGTACTGCCCAGAAGAGGCATCTGCTCTGAGCCC